GTCAACGGCGGCGTGGTGTATTCCGCAAATATGCCCGACTATGAGGGCGGGCACAAGCCGGCGTGAGTAGGTTAAACGTTGAGTTTTATAAGGGCACCACGGGGTGACCAGCCCCTCCCCTCCCCACCCGGCCCCATCCCTCCCACCCCCCACCCAGCCCCACCCAGCCCCTCCCAGCCCCTCCCAGCCCCTCCCCACCCAGCCCCTCCCTCCCCACCCAGCCCCTCTCTGCACGACGAACGGACGGACACAATAATCCCCTGTGGGCTGGTGTAACCAGGAGGTTCCTACCAGTACTAAAGAGTGAGCTGTGGAAAAAACAAACTGTATGCGCTCAGAGTGAGGCGGCCGTGTGTGAAAATTAAAATAAAGCGTTCGCAAGGTCTTTTATTCACGTTATTTAAACTTTCCGTGCAAACGAACTTGATTTTCTGGAAGGTGCGACCTCAGATTATGTTACCTTTTGTTGGTGTTCTTTGTGTGAGAGAGCATTCATCGCTGCGGGGAGGATAGAAGTGTCTAAGTACGTACCTATGCACTGTATATCTAAGCGGCACGCATTGCTAAAGTTAATCCTAAATGTTTTGTTAGGCAAGGCTCGGTAATTTTTTAGGCTCAACGTGACATGATGTCATTCATACAAGAATGTTTGAAAGTATATAATGCTAATAAGTTACAGACACGTATTAACACACTGCTGGATGAAGGGCCTTCCCTGAAAACATCCACGGGAAAATTGAGTTAATTTTCTTGCTGTGGATTTCACACCTGATGACGATTGCTTGTGTTGCAGTCGAAACGTCGTGAGAATTTTTTTATTGCTTTATATTTATATTATTTTTGTTATTTCCCTTCTACGTGACTTTACCGAAAAAGCCAAGAATATGAATCCTTGCAGTCACGAAAGCTTTAAATCGAAATTTGAGTGGATATACTTCACCAAATGGAATATTTCGAAAACAAAACCATCTGCTGTGTGCATCCGTGGTCACCATGGAACTGTGAACGAGTCAACGTCCCATGCAGCGACATTGCGTCACTCTGCTACTACTCCTGATGTCGTCATCTGGCTCAACCGTCGCAATTTAAAATGAGTAATATTTTTTTTTTACTTTTTTTAAAACACTCTTTAATGAAATGTACCGTACTAGTAATGGAAGAATTCCACGACTCTAGGAAGTGGCCCGAAGCTTGCCATAACGTAAGGGACCGTGATGATTTACAGCTAACGTCAGTTGAGCGTTGACAATTAGACCCAAGCCGAAACATCAAAAAAAATTATGTAAAAAATATTTTTATTTTTAATGATAGAATATAGTATTGTCATCAGTATGACATAAGTATACCAAGTTTGTAGTCGATACCACATTGGGAAGTGGGTAAAAATTGAGTTGCAAGATTTGAGGATACAACAACAGACAGAGTGAGTTAATAAAAAAGCGTGTACTAATGATAGTCGTTGCTCTCCATCAACGTCAGCCGGCCGTACGAAGAAGGCCATGCTGGTCAGTGCAGGCTGGTGACGGTGCTTAGGCCCGAGACCAGGTCAAGTATAAACTGAAAAAAACAATTTTTTTTCTTACCAAATAAGGCCCACTGAGCTATTTTGCTCCTTTTCAAAGAGTGACAGTCAAAGGATTGAATTGACAGAGTGGCACTGTGACAGTTGCCTTGGATGCTATCCGTGCTCCTATGGACGTGAGTAAAGTCTGTCAGTGACAATTGGCTCATCCACGACTGCCCAAATTCGCGACCCACCACCACGTTCCATCTTTCCGCACTCACCAAATTTACTCTCCATTCAAACACAAGTTAAACTCACTCTTTGGTTCTTTCGACAAAGTCACGTATAAAGATAAAATAATAAATTAAATACGAGCATACGACGTTTCGATTGCAACACAAGCAATCGTCATCAGGTATAAATGAAATAGAAACACAAATCTAGTATACTTAGAAATGTAATGTAATACAACAGAGAGTCGGATAACATAACAGTCAACACCCTACCTGGTTGATTACGTTCTTCCTGAGAATGCTAAATTTGAGAGAGAGATAAAACACAGAACCAGAGACATATAGACAGACATATAAGTAGAGACAGATATCACAGATATACATAGAGATAGAACAAACATAGGCACACAGAGAAACCACGCCTCTGTGTCAAGGCCTTGTTCAACACGTTCCACGTGACGCGCTGACCAATGAGCGCCGTTTGCGTCACGTGGGATGCGTGAACACGCACACACACTGATAACTAAATCTTATACACTATGAGACATCTCCTTTACCAGTGGCCAAATATAGTAATAGGCTTTAACCCTTTCAACTGGTACAAAAACTGACACCTTTATACAAGGCATCATGTTTGCAATAACCACAACACAAGCAGCAAAATGCAAACAAAAAGAAACAACTTTGATAATGATATGCACTGTCCTTGAAGTTGATTGGTCCACACCCGAGACAGCTTTTCTTAGAGCCTAGTCTCCATTGGTGTTGGACCAGATGACGCCAAAAGGCGTACAACTCAAAAATCAATGGACACCAATGGAGACTAGGCTCTAAGAAAAGCTGTCTCGGGTGTGGACCAATTAACTTCAAGGACAGTGCATATCATTATCTGAGTTGTTTCTTTTTGTTTGCATTTTGACTGCTTGTGTTGTGGTTATTGCAAACATGATGCCTTGTATAAAGGTGTCAGTTTTTGTACCAGTTGAAAGGGTAAAAACCTCTTACTATCTAAATCTTACTTTGAATCGACTCTATGAACGCAAGACGGCGTTAATTGCTTAGCGCGTCACGTGGGACGTGTTTAACGATCATCGGGAACGAGTTTAATTTGTATTTGAATGGGGGGGGGGGGGGGGGCTTGGGGAGTTAATTTGTAAACGCAGAAAAGACGTAGCGTGGTGGTTGGTTTGCGAGAACCGGAGTTGTTGGAGAAGCCGCGAGTCTCGATGGCTTTTGGAGCCAGCCGCAGTGGCGAAACGAGGACATGAGCTCGCGACCAGATGCTTGGTGGATTGTTCTCGTCGCAGGATCGCGAGAGATGGCTTTGGGGGAGAGGGGCCGTCCATAAATGACGTCACGCACCTGGGGGGGAGGGGGGGTCAGACATTTGTGACGATGTGTGACGAGGGGAGGGGGGGGGGTTGAGAAATGTGACGTCACATCAAAATGCGCAACTTAAAATCAATATTGGCAACACGTTCTACTTAATTAAATATACTTTTTAATGAATGTTTTCTCCTACAACATCAGAGTGCAGCGCCACATTAAATACGCACTACAATGACGATAGTTTAAAGCGATTTGAAGCATGTTTTATTTTCAAAATGGAAATAAGGTTTTGGGGGGTGGGGGGGGGGTAGAGCTTTGTGACGTCATATTTGAGGGGGGGGGGATCTGACTTTTTGTGACGCCGTGTGACGAAGGGGGGGAGGGGTCAAAATCGTCCAAAATCGCGTGACGTCATTTATGAACGGCCCCAGAGCTTCATCCAGCAGCGGATTGACCATGGATGATGATGATGGTGATCATCATTCCTGGGTTCACTGTGAATTGCACACAAATAATCCGTAAATCTGCAGCGTTATATCGTGGCCTTTGCTTAACTGGAACAACGCATGTTATGGCGCCGGTATGAATCAACAACCCCTGTTCGGAAAGCCCCACCGCCACCAGTGACAATCGCCCACACGCCGGTGGCGGTTTTGTGTCGAGAAGTCGACAAAGCGAAGCCCTCTGGGTTTCCATCCTCGAGTGGTGATGACGCGCGCGCGCGCGTGCACGTGCACAGGTGGAACTCGTGGCCAGGTGGTGGGGGGGGGGGGGCAACCTCGTGGCCAGGTGGGGGGGGGGGGCAACCTGCGGCCGACGGAGCCTCGTGCGGCTCTTTGGCCGACCCCATGTGGGCAGCAGTTTGAAAAAAGAAGACGCCAAAAAAAACCCCCGTAAATTTTCAAGCGTAATTTCACGTAAGGAGTATCTATTAAATATGGCAGGGAAGTGGGGTTCCGCTATCGAATGTCTTGGTGATGACAAAATGTGCAACAGTCGAGCTGTATTCTTGGTTCTTTCGATAAAGTCACGTAGATAATTTTATTTTATCATTTTTATTTTCCATCTACGTGACTTTACCGATAGAACCAACAATATGAATTCTAGATTTGAAGCTTTTGTGACTGCAAGGATTAATACTGTAAGGTTTCTGCGGTAAAGTCACGTGGGTAAAAAATAAAATAAAAATTTATAAAAGTAATAATAGAAATAAAATCATAATAAAAATCACGACGTTTCGGAGGCAACACAAGTCTCCGTCATCAGGTGGGACCGTCACAGCTAGATTTACTGTATCAAGTGAATTCCTGCAGTCACGAAAGTGTTAATTGATAGGCAAACTGTAATGTTAAAGAATAACTAAGGGGAGCAGGGGCGGTCGAGGGGTGGAATTCATTCCACGCAGTTTATTCCATCAACCTATTTTGTTTATTTACGCCGAGGATGTGTGTGTTGTCATCTGCTGTCTACCTGCTGCTGTGTTTGTGTACAAGTCGCCCTGCGCGTGTGATGGGGCCCTCCAACTATTTTGGTCAAAAGACAAAAAAAAATGTCTCTTCCTCTTTTGAAAGGTTGCCGACCCCTGACTGAGCCGATCATTGGAACACGAAGGCAGCATGTGGTGGTCGCTGATGGTGATGATGATGAAACTGCACCAAGTGCTGGGGCTCCCTCCAGACCGGTTCTCTTGGGCAAGTTGCGGAGCCTGCGTGCGCCCGTCTGCTGGAGACAGCCCTGATGGCGAAGCCCCTGCCACCCTGTTCCAATTTCTCAGTGGGTCTATTGGGGTCCCGATGTGAGGCTGTGGTTCTCTATGTAAGTCTGCGCGTCTCTATACGAGTCTCTAGATCAGTCTCTGTGTGAGTCCTTGAGTTTGTTTGTGAGCCTATTGGATTCTGTGTGATTTTATGTATCACTGGCCAGCGCGTTCCAGTTTCTCAGTGGGTCTATTGGGGTCCCGATGTGAGGCTGTGGTTCTCTATGTAAGTCTGCGCATCTCTATACGAGTCTCTAGATCAGTCTCTGTGTGAGTCCTTGAGTTTCTTTGTGAGCCTATTGGATTCTGTGTGATTTTATGTATCACTGGCCAGCGCGTTCCAGTTTATCAGTAGGTCTGTTGGGGTCCCGATGTGAGGCTGTGGTTCTCTATGTAAGTCTGCGCGTCTCTATATGAGTCTCTAGATCAGTCTCTGTATGAGTCCTTGGGTTTCTTTGTGAGCTTATTGGATTCTGTGTGATGTTGTGTATCGCTAAGTGAGTATTGTACGGGTCTCTGTGTGAGAAGCCACTGGCTAACGCGTTCCATTTTCTCAGTGGGTCTCTATACGAGTCTATGGGAGTCTCTATGTGAGTCTCTAAGTCAGACCATGTGCGATTATTTGAGTCTCTGTGTTGATTCTATGGATCTCCAAGAAAATATATGTGCCTCTGTGCAAATATACGGGTCTTGAGTCTCCGGTTCTCTGCGTGAGTCTCTGGGTCTCTCTATACGAGTCTCTATGCGAGAAAGCAATGGCGTTTGAAGCCACAAACTACCAGGGCATTTCAATTTTTCAACTCATCCACCTGCATGAGCCTACACAACCCGATGTGGACTTTGTTTCCTCCTACACTTGGAGCTATGGGCCTGATCCGTACAGTCATTCACACACACACAGTGCTGTTCCAACTACTGAGGTCTCAATAGTTGTGTGGCTTAGTGATCTTTTTTATATTGCACGGTTGATAAAAACACCACATTTGTCAATGTTCTTGGTCCAACAAAAGCCCTCTGGAGAAGGAGCCAGCTGTTGCGACGTGTTGCTTGTCACCGAAACTCCAGCCCGGTAGAGAGCATGTTGAGCACGTTGAAGTAGAGCATCCTGAGTAGGTGGTAGTTTGTCTAGAGTTTGATTCTTCTGAGAGAACAGATCCATCTTGGCCTCGTTCACAAAGGTGAGATAGAGCCTGTCTTGTCACCCATGACAACAGACAATTTTTTCGAGCTTTTGAAATTGACGAAAGTGTAAGTGCAGCTATTCAAATGGGTGAAAGACCATGCACGCAAAATGTCCCTGTGACCTCTTCATACGACTGCCAAGCCTGCCAGGCTGACCTTTTGCCCTTGCCCATGAAGGAGGATGTTGTTGTTGTTTTGCAACCAGAAAATATGTGGAACACAGGCAAGGCTCTTCATCTTTGTTCGCCAAGGCTGGCACATATTCTAATGATGTGGTACAAAGCAGAAATCCCTCCCCATTCCAAAGGTCACCCAGATGTTTTCCAGGGGTTGTATTACAGTGAGGTCATGGAATTTGCCAATGACAACCGTAACCACATCTGTGTCCGCAGTGCGTATCTGGAAAGTTTTAGATCCTTGCTCTCAACTCTAAAGCACGACACACGTCAACCACAATCCGAGTATCAGCTTCCTCATCATTGCAATTAGACATGGGGATTATAGAACCGATGGGAGTTTGCAGACTGCCCCTTCTGTGATGTGTATAGCTTCGTCTGGTTGACATGTGGCAGCTACAACCTGAGGAGTCAATAACAGCAAAGGCTCGTTCAATGGGTCGCGAAGAAAGTCATTCCGCTTGCCTGGCAGTTTTGCTTCAACTGGCACTTTCCTGCACGCACCTTTGACCCTTTTATTCTGGGGTGGACTATTTTAAACCGTGCGAAATATAAACACCCCACACGATGTCCACCCTCTTTGTACCCTACGCAGTGTGGTCGGCGTAGGGTACAAACACCTACATCTGCGTAGTCATGAAATATGCACGATGCAGCAGGGGGCATGCAATCAACGATGACTGCACCATGCAGAACGTTAGAGTCAAAGTTTGTAAGTATCTCGGGCTCATGTTTGTGCTCCACACATTTTAGTCGCTTAGACCTCATGCTCGGCTAAAAAAGAAGCTTGCCAGAGTCTAAAAAAGAAGGTGGGAAGCACTGTCTCATGAGCAAAGAATTGCCTCAAATCACCATGTCGATTCTGCAAGGAAATATATAGCTGGCCTTCTTAATTTTAATTATGGATGGATAGTTTGGGTACGATTTTCAATGAGAATGATTGTCACCAAGTCCTGTGGAAAATCGTCCAGGAAATAGGTTTCATCCTCCTTTCAATAGTCCGAGTTAGGTTGTGTGACTTGCCCTTGAAAGTGCATCTCCGTCGAGTGGTGTGGAAAGTTTTGTGCCGATGTCAGGGTCATTATCAAGACGGTATCGTCCCTCGAAGTCTTTCGACAGTCTGGCTCCCATCTGGGGCCAGGGAGCATCCAGCAGATGACAGCAGTGGTAGGGGATGAGGTTCAGTTGCTCCAACCCCTGAACCCTTGACAAACTCCCCCCTTCACATTAAACAATCACCTTCGCTCGCTAAGTTTGAGCACCTCACTCAAAACTCACCTATTGTCCCCCGAGCTCACCCCACGACCCCTTAATCTCCATCCCTCATAACCCACCACCGTCACTGTTCCCTCTTCATATTCTCATGCTGTGGCTATCACTCATTCCCCATTTATTCAATCCATTCATTCACCATCATTTGCAGTCATTAATATCGCTGTCGCCGAATTCACGCATCACACATTCGCACCCATTGCTTCCTCTCATCTATTTTATTCACCCCATCTCCACCATGACATTAATATAAACCGTTCATAATTCTCTGTAAAGCACCTTGGTTATAAGGCGATATATAAATTCCGTTTAGATAAGATCAAATGGGATTGCAGACAATGTATTTACCGGTCTCACAAAGGACGCGGCGATACCAATTCTCAAACTCAATCTCGATGGGATTCGGTAATAATTTCATGTGTCTGATATATATATTGCATTAATAACACTGGTCAACAAAAAAAATATTTCTGGCCTGGATTTTTGCAGCTGTTTTAGACTAATTTCAGGGTGCTGATTCCAAATCTGATCTCAGATTTGCTCTATCACATAAGTTTTATGCTATCGGCATACGCCATTTTCATTGATTTTACCCGAAATTAACTCTGTCACTTATGATTGCAAGTTGTTGCGAGTCAGTGACTGCTTTAGTGTTAAAATATGGTGCTGTATTTTTAGGATAGTGTGTCTATAATATAATTGTATGTAGATATCCACATTTATTTAATATTTTTCTTATGCAGTTTTAATTGAAAATGCAATATTTGATATCTCAAAAACCTGATGTGATAGACAAAAACTGATGCCAGTCTTAATTTTGGAGCTTTCGTGACTGCAGGAATTATTCTTTGGTTCTTTCGGTTAAGTCACGTCTAAAGATAAAATAATAAATTAAATAATAGCATATTACGACGTTTCGATTGCAACACAAGCAATCATCATCAGGCATAAAAGAAATAGCAACAAAAATCTAACTAGAAAACTATAGACAGACATACAAGCGGTGTGATGTCTGTCCGATTGTATGTCTGTCTATAGTATTCTAGTTAGATTGTTGTTGCTATTTCTTTTATGCCTGATGATGATTGCTTGTGTTGCAATCAAAACGTCGTAATATGCTATTATTTAATTTATTATTTTATCTTTAGACGTGACTTAACCAAAAGAACCAAAGAATAAAACTAATGCCAGATTTGGAGTCAGCACCCCAAAATTACCTTAGAACCGTTGGAATACCTTATGCCAGAAAAAGTGTGTTGACCAGTGTAATGCACGTGGTCCAAGTCTAAGAACGGGGGTGCCCAGCTCCATAGAGTGGGAAGTTCTCCCCTCCATGTGCTCTCATGAAAATGGAGTCTTTCACACGTACAGTGCGAAAGAAGTTCAACAAACATACACGTGAAAGAGAATGCCAGAACGTGAAGGTAGGTGGCACCCTTCTTCTGCGTGCCATTCCTCAAGGCTTCCGTGGAGGCTTTGTCATTTGAACCCTCAGACAAGCAAGAACGCATTCTGCGCGGGGGTTTGAGTGTGACTTGGGGAGAATGCCTAGTTCTTGTCAAGCGATCGGCTCTTCGTTAGTGAGTCTGCAACAGCAGGTCACGTAAGTGGCGAGGCAGAACCGAAGGAGACCGGTTGGATTTGTGGGGAAGTTGCGCCATCTGTTGGCACACCAGCATTTAATTCAGCAAAGGAGATGAGTCAAATTTTGACTTAAAACTTTCATGACTGCAGGAATTAATATTCTTTGGTTCTTTCGGTAAAGTCACAAAGTCACAAAGTGACTTTACCGAAAGAACCAACGAGTATGAGATAAGAGTCGCCATCCGTGTGAAATTTTCCCAGTCTTCTGCTTTCGTGCGGCTGATGTAGATGCAGAGCAAACGACGACAATTTCACATTGCGGCGGTCAAGCCAGCCAACGCTGTCAGTAGCAACGGAGTCGTATCGCTGTGATGTCGCCTTCGTATTTGTGGATCGGGGCATCGTGTCGTAGTACGTTTTATGGTCTGCTCTGGATGACTACAATCGCAGGGCTGTAATGTCTCCTGTTACTCAGGGTGATGCGGTCGTCAGGGATGTCACCCGTCCTGGTTTCACCAGGATTGTCCTCTTTTCGAGGTAGCTGTCCTGCAACATTTGAAAGTCTTCCCATGACATTTAAAGCACCGGTTTTGTCAGTTGAGTAATTTCATTCCATTCGTTTGTATTAATAGCACGCCACTCAATACGATGTTTTATCATTCCATGTAGGTCTCTCCTCTTCTGGTATGGTGATACGTGGGTGCTGTCCCCCCTCTCGTGGCCCACCCTGTTATGTGAACGAAGTTTACAATGAAGTTCGTAATGAATGATATCGCTAAGGGGCCGTCCATAAATGACGTCACGCGATTTTGGACGATTTTTGACCCCCCCCCCCCCTTCGTCACACGACGTCACAAAAAGTCAGACCCCCCCCCCCTAAAATATGACGTCACAAAGCTCTGCCCCCCCCCCAAAATAAAACATGCTTCAAATCGCTTTAAACTATTGTGATTGTAGTGCGTTTTTAATGTGGTGCTGCACTCTGATGTTGGAGGAGAAAACATTTATTGAAAAGTCTATTTAATTAGGTAGAACGTGTTGTCTATATTTATCTAAAGTTGCGCATTTTGGTGTGACGTCACATTTCTCACCCCCCCCCCCCTCTCGTCACACATCGTCACAAATGTCTGACCCCCCCCCCCCCCCCCCCACTAGGTGCGTGACGTCATTTATGGACGGCTCCTTACAGCAGAAAGAACAATCCTGGCAACAAAGGTCCTCCTCGGGGCCAGACGGAGGCGAGCCATCGGCCCCTCGCTTCGTCGAGGCCAGCTAAAAGTCGAGGACCTATCACGAGCGAAGACACAGATGTCCTCGCAAAGATCCTTCAGCAAGAAAACATCGACATCCTTACTTTCCAAGAGACGCATGTGGAGGAAATCAGCTATCTACGATTGAACATTCCAGGGTGCATCCTCGCTGCTTCTAAGGGCCGCGCTAAACACGGTCTGGCTACTTACGTCACGCATCACGTGAAAGACGCAACAGAAGTCATTCCCACCCAATATTCAAATATGCTCAAAATGTCCCCCCCCCCCCCCCCCAATTTTTTGGTATAAAACATTTTATTGCGATGCTATGTAAATAAAGACAACAATTTGCTAAACCTTGGCCGCAATATCTGGTCTTGTCTTCATATAAATCAATGCATAGATTTATGTTTATATGATTGTGGTTATGGTTGTACTTGATTAATCCCTAATCTCTGCTATTACATACAATGAAACAAGAAATAGTAAAAAAAAGTTAAAACACGGCAATGTAATACAATACACTATTCGACATTGTAAATAAATAAATAAAGCCCATCCCATGTGTTCGTGAATGTTTTAATATTTTAGGCAGGAAATTATTTTTCAAAATTTTTTTTTGGGTTGGGACCCCCAGACACCCTGGAAGATTTGGTCCCCCCAATGTTGACTCCATGGCCACGCTACGGCCTTGAGTCATTCAGACAGACAACGACTTCACAGTTGGGACAAGAATCGCCGGTCTCATCTTTCCAATGTCCACAAACGACCACACCATCCTAGCACCTACCTCCTTTGCCAGCGGCACAACATCCCGCGGTCTACATAGGTGACTTCAATAGCCATCGCACAATGTAGAGTTACCTAGTTAACGACCTGGCAGGCGGACAAATCCTTGATTGGGCATCTGCACAAGAGCTCTTCCTCGTGTTTGATGCCAAGCAACAAGGCACATTCCACTGCGCATGGTAGAATAGGGAATACAACCCAAACCTGTGCTTTGTAACTACAGATAAGAATGGCTCAGCCTTTGCCCACCATGCGCAAAGTCCTGCCTCGCTTCCCGCACAGCCAGCACAAGCACGTGGTCATCCATGTTGGCCACGAAATTCCAGTAATCACGAGCACGCCAAGACCACCACTGCAACTTCGGACGACCAAATTGGCCTGTTTTAATGGCTGCTGTGGAAGAATACCAACCACATCTCCACCAACCGTGAAAAGTTTGAGCAGTTCATCGTGCTCGCGAAGCAAGCCGCCAGGGATGCGCTTCCACGGGACTATTGGAGGCCCTACACCCCCAGCTGGAGAACAAGAAAGCACTGGTGACCCGGAGATTGCAACAGCCCTTTTACACTCGCTCGATTCTGCCAGACGAGCAAAGTAGGCAGCATTGATGGAGTCTTTTGACTTCACGCAATCCAGCAACAGGGCATGGGGGTTACTGCGGAAGCTCATGGAGCAGCACCCTCAGAACACCGGACTTCTAAGGCAACTGATCATGGGATAGCGACGCAGCTTCCCGGCAATGCAAAAACAATCGAAAGTCGAAAAGAAGAACGCACAGTAAAACAAGCCGCAAAAGATACTCTTCACCAGTGTCAAAAACTCTCCTCTGTCTGGAGCTGTACTTCCAAAAGACATAGATGCCGCACTGGCAGTAAGGAAGGCAGGTAAAGCCGCAGGAATGGATGGGATTTACCCAGAATTCCTTAAACACATTGGCAGCAAAGGAAGAAACTGGCTGGTGAAACTTTTGTAACAATCATCGCCACCAGCAAGCTACCAAGACTTTGGAGAAAAGTTTAAGTTATTGCTCTCCTCAAGCCAGGAAAACCTGCCGATGACCCACACAGCCACAAGCCAATCACTCTTCTTCGGACAGCCTACAAGCTACTGGAGTGAGTACTGCTAGCCCGACTCTCTCCTCTCTTGGAAGCCACCATACCACCTGAGCAGGCAGGTTTTCGGCCACAACGAAGTTGGTGTGACCATGTCCTCACCTTGACATCACACATCCAAGCCGGCTTTCAGTATAAGCAGAAGAAGTAGCTGCTTTCATAGACTTGTCCTCTGCATACGACACGGTCTGGCGCCGACGACTCCTCCTTAAACTCGACAACACCATCAAGTGTGATTAAACGGTTTGCTTCATCGCCAATCGGCTCAGCCACCGACAATTTCGGGCCCATCTCAGAAACCAGGTCAGCCGCCCACGAACTTTACAAAATGGCCTACTGCAGGGGTCAGTATTAGCACCAGCCCTGTTCATTCTCTACACCAGCGACATGCCGGACACGTTAAGCCGCAAGTTCATTTACGCAGACGGTCTCGCGCTGGCTAGCCAAGCGACGATGCTCAGCGCAGCTTAAGACGGCTTGAACACCGACCTAAAGAAATTTGCAAATTATTTCTACTCCTGGCAACTTAAGGAACACCTAACCAAGAGAGTGTCCTCAAAATTCTATCTCAGCAATGCAGAGGCAAATAAATACACTGAAGATCGAGGTTTGTGTTAAAACCATATCCCACGACCCACTCGCGAAATACCTTGAAGTGGTGATCGATCGAAGTCTCGCTTTCAAGCAACACATTAAGCAGTTGAGCAACAAAATAAAAACCCGCACGAACATTGTCCATAAACTGACAGGAACTAGTTGGGGCTGTGATGCGCGAATACTACGGACTGCCACGCTCGCCTTCGTGTATTCGATGGGAGAGTATTGATCACCTGTGCGGGGACGCACAGGTGATCAATACTGAACATCGCACTGCGTGCCATCTCAGGCACGCTGAAGTCGACGCCGATCCAGTGACTCCCGGGACTCACCGACATTGCTCCGCCGCAAATGCGTCGCGAAACAGCGGCCATCTAGAAGTACCAAACAATTCTCATCAAACTGCACCTTCCAATACATCGGGACATAAAGCTAATTCCGCCTGTTCGCCTACAATCACACCACCCCTTCTGGATCACAGCAGCCTCACTCCTCGCCACGAATACAAATGAAGGCCAGAGATGGAAGCGAGTCTGGACTGCGGCCGAGACGTCAAAAATAAACATCTCATACAGGACCCTACCGTCGAACCTCCCCGTTTCAACCTCCCACGCCGCCAGCGGTCGACCATCAACCGAATCGGGACCGGGCACGGCCGATGCGACCACCTGATGCACAAATGGCGCATCAAAGATTCGGCGGCCTGCGAGTGCGGCCACAAATCCAAAACCATCGACCACATTGTAAATACTCCGCTGCTGTTGTTTTCACTCCTTTAAAGGAGAAATGGACGAGATCCACTCTGTGTCTGAACAGACACATTGAGTGGAGAAGAAATCTAAAATTACATCTTTAATCTGCTGCAATTAATCCATACGAAAGAAGAAGAATCAGCCATACGAAAGAAGACGATTGCGGTGGTTGACCGAGCGAGCGAACACGCGTGGCCGTAGACATCGGCAACACATTGATGGCATCTGCATAAACATTGCAAAAACACCGTAGCTTACGCAGACGTGCCTTGAATTAGGCGAAATGCTTGCAAGCTGACGCCTCCGCAAAGCAAAATTAAACCCCGTACCGAGTTTTCCTGGCAGATTATGTGATTGGATTTGGTGAATGTTGCACGTTCATGCTGTGCGATGCCTTGCTTGTGCTACGCAGGGGGCCAGAGAATTAAGGAGAAAAGCCAAGCCTCCTGCTTCGGGGAATGTGAACAGATCCGATGATGGCAACGCTATTTGCTTTGGCTAAGCATCTGCATGCTGGTATCAATGCCAATTTAAATGTATCCGTTTATATTAAGAAAATGCCATGGTTTCCCATCCCAAGGAAACGTGAGAAACTCAGTTTCCTTTGTTGGAAAGATCGTTGCTGCCAGCTGGGCATGTAACTTGCTTAAACTCGCGTGAGTGAAGGTCTAAAAAATTGTAAGAACATTGTTAATCCTATTATAATCCTTATTTTCTAAAGTTGCATTATTCGCATCAAAGCAATGATAGAGCAACTGTAACTTCATTCACCCCCAATTTTCCCCCACCCCATCTCCTCCGTGACCAGGAGAGCTGGGTTAGGAGGCCTTTGTTAATTAGCGGATCTAAAAAAACTTACGGTAAAGGATCATTGGAATGTACTTTAGTAGTTTCTTTAGGATAATTAATTGTTTTTTTGAGCATTCAATTAGGTGTAATTTAAAACCAGGTTACTTATTTTGCAGAAGCAACGTGCAATTACACGGTGGTGAGATGTTAACTACCTCGCCTGGTATATAGGAGGTCGTGGGTTCGATCCCGACCCTGACGCTTGTATATAGTACTATTTAGAGTTTGCATGTTCTCCCCGTGTTTGCGTGGATATTTCTCCAGGTCCAAATAAAAAAAGGTTAATTTTTTATTTAGTTTTAGATTTTTACGAGTGCCACCTAATGGATATTTAATGTCATTGTCATAGTGCCGTCGCTTGGGTAGCAGCAAAATTTTAGTTTGACTTACACATTCCTGCGGAGGGAGCTGGTAGGAACGTTGGGTTGCTCGGTCAATGGCCAGGGTCAACGGCGGCGTGGTGTATTCCGCAAATATGCCCGACTGTGGGGGCGGGCACAAGCCGGCGTGAGTAGGTTGAGTTTTATAAGGGCACCACGGGGTGACCAGCCCCTCCCAACCCAGCCCCACCCCTCCCACCCCCCAATCAGCCCCTGCCCACCCTCCCCACCCAGCCCCTCTCCACCCTCCCCACCCAGCCCCTCCCTCCCCACCCAGCCCCTCCCCACCCTCCCCACCCAGCCCTCCCTTCCCCACCCAGCCCCACCCCTCCCATTTTTGGATTCACGACGGACGGACACAATAATCCCCTGTGGGCTGGTGGAACCAGGAGGTTCCTACCAGTAAAAGCTTTCGTGACTGCAGGAATTCATATTCTTGGGTATTTCGGTAAAGTCACGTAGATAGGTTCAAAGAAAATAACAAAAAAATAACAAAAAACTACGACGTTTCGATCGCAACACAAGCGGTCGTCATCAGGACGAACGCTTGTGTTGCTATATTAGAAGCCATTAGTTCTCTTTGCTTAATAGTTTTTTATTTGCTATAATTGGCGTGTGTCAACACGTTGGTGACCTCCAAGTCGCTCTTGAAAAATGAGACCTCAACTCAATCCCGTCCTCTTGAATCCTCACCACGTTTTTATTTTCAGCAACAAAACATCAACTCGACTTGATTATTTTTTAAATCCTTTATATTAAGTTCGCTTGCTTGCTTGCTTGCGTGCTTGCTTCGTTGCTTACGACCGTGCAAATCTTTCGGTCGTTTTTAACCCACTTCCCGTGATCCAATCGAGCTGACATTTTCCACACAGACTCGTTGTGCGTGACAATTAATTTTCGTGAAATTTTTTTTCCAAAATTTTACACTGTTTAGGGAATTTTTTTAAAAATATTTAATTACCAATTGCTTAATGCTGGCAGACAATCATCTGACCCATAGGTGGCAGCCATCTCAAGCCAGAGGACGAGAGGACTCTAGCCGCCACGCATATAAAGGATTTATAGTGAAAAACTTAGTTTTTTACGGGTTAATTTTTTGACAGTTTCGCTCATTTCCAATTGCGTTTAATGTGAACTATTGAAAACAAATCTGGAGACATTCCAATGTTCACTATAAAATACAAACGCTTTCAACCCACCCCCCCTACCCCCACCTGGGCTATAATAAACCCCCCAACGTCGTGACGACCACGTGACGTCAACACAATGTGTGCGTGATGACGTCACGACACGGCTGGTTGACGGCGGTGGACGCTGTTGGCGCGATGACGTCACGTTCCACCTCGCCCAATGGGAAGCGAGGAGGGGACTGCGCCGTGCGCGTGACGTCAGCGCGCGCCGCTTTATTTGATTATTTATTTACTCGGAGCCGGGTGCGGGCTGGGAGATGCAGCAACGGAGGAGTGCTGAGGGCGACTCGATTCAATAATTTAGTTTTTTTTATTCCTTTAACCTCCCCGCTCCCTCTTTGTTTTATAATCCGCACGTTTCCTCACAATAGTCTCCGTTCGCCGCTAAAGGTAAGGTTCGTGTGAACGTTTCTGTGTTTTTTACATTTCTATGCGTGTGATCATTCGGGCGCTACGGGAAATGGTCGCGACGCGTCGGCCCCAGCCAGGTACGAGCGAGTCAAGTGTGGAGATGCCGATTTGTGTGGTAAAATAATCGCGAAATGATCGACGGATTCGCGATCACAGCTGTGAGACACATCGTGGGTATAACAGGGGCGTTGATTGTAGCAATGGTTGGTGTCAATCGGTAGTGGCGTGTGTGGAGCGAGCTGGTGGTTAGAATGCATAGGGGCAGGTGCCAGGCTCCATTCAAACATTGATGGGAAATTCCTACTCGCATCGGGCCTCGCAATCCATGACGTTGAACGTTATCCATAGCCTAGTTCATCATACGAGAGCTGTGTTCATGGCACTGTTAGATGTTGACGCTTCTCGGCTGATGTCCATCATCAGCCTTGATCGATCCACTGCTTGATGAAAAAGGCCTCTTCCTAAGCGGTCCTGTAACACGGGTTTATTTGGTCGCACTGGCATATTGGAGTAAATGTAGTGCCCCATTGGAACCTCCTTTGCCAGTAGCAAAATATGATAATTGGGTTTTTACTCTTTTATCTGGCAACAAAACTGACACCTTTTTTTACAAGGAGTCATGTTTGCATTGACCACAATACCTGCGGTGGGAATGCAAAAAAAAACAATTTTCATATTTTTGCTACTGGCAAAGGAGGTTACAATGGTGTAAATGCTTAACCCGAGCTCTCATACTCTGATGGTGCATTGTCTTTGAGTTGTGCGTCTATTGGCGTCATCTGGTCCAACACCATGTGAGACTAGGCTCTAAGAAAAGCTGTCTCGGGTGTGGACCAATCAATTTCAAGGACAGTGCACATACATTATCAGAGTTGGGTTTTTTGTTTGCATTCCGAACCGCAGGTATTTTGGTCAATGCAAACGTGACTCCTTGTAAAAAAAGGTGTCAGTTTTTTTGCCAGATAAAAGAGTAAAAAACAATTATCATATTTTGCTACTGGCAAAGGAGATTCCAATGGTGTAAATGCTTACCCCGAGCTCTCATACTCTGATGGTGTATTGTCTTTGAGTTGTGCGCCTTTTGGCGTCATCTGGTCCAACACCATGTGAGACTAGGCTCTAAGAAAAGCTGTCTCGGGTGTGGACCAATCAATTTCAAGGACAGTGCATATATGTTGTAAAAAAGGTGTCAGTTTTGTTGCCAGATAAAAGGGTCAAAAAACAATTATCAAGTAGAAAGAATACGGTGTATATTTTCAATTAGAATAATAATAATTTGGAGTCCAGTTGCAATCAACTGCTGCATTAATGCCTCACCGTGCCGTGTCAGTGGTTAGGCATTGTTTAACCATACTTCACCACCCTGGTCAGTTGCTGGTTGATTGAGGTGATGGAGGCGACCAGGAGATTGGTGAACATTTAATTTGCCACTGATGTTGCCCGTGGCTGGAAATCGAGCTTAGAGGTTAACTTATTTATTTCCCTCATAGCGCAGTGCGCCAACCACGATTACAGCAATACCATTTTGCAATAATAATAATAATGTCTTGGTCAAACGCGCACCCCCTGATGTAAAGTGGACGTGGGCAGCGATGGTGTTCACCAGGCGATGGTGTTTGCACAGTGGTATCTTGCAATGGAGGCTACAGCTCATGTGCAAGTCTGCATTCTCATAAAAACCGACAGGGCAAATGCATGTGTCTGTGGGGCTTGGTGAAATATCTGCAGCTTTTGTTGGGAAGTTGTGAGTGGTCGTCCTATGGGATGTCTAGCCCCTGACATGGGAATGTGGAATTTGGGCCGGGAACGTTTTTGCCTTTATTTTTTTGTGTCTTCAACACGTACTGCAATGTATTTAAAGGTTACAGAATCACGGCAGGCACCCCTCATTACGTAAGAATCATTACACAATATGTATCCTGTCACCAAATCACCTGGAATTAATTAGATGTTATTAAATCTCGAGAGCGAAGCAGATTTGATACATAAAACACGTGCCATATGCTGCAAAATCAATTGTACTGTTTAACAGGTTAGGCTTTAGCGACCAATATTATCCATAATACAGGTTTTTTTGGGTTAGATCGCGTATATATTAATGTTTCGTTAAACCCCGACAGCCAATTTGTAAGCAAAACATGTCAGTTATTAGTTAAGCACATCGGAGTGTTGCTGGTGGCGGGTTTAACAACACATTTATATTTACGCGATCAAACCCAAAAAAAACCGTAATGGATAATTGTACCGTACGCGTGTGTTGCCACGTCTATGCTTTCGATCTTCATGAACCTGCACTGACCAGCATTGTGAAGTATGCCTAAATAAGCCTCACAACCCACAGCAAGCCTTATCTATCAGTCTACTGCCATTAGAGCTGGTCACATGCTCAGCAAGATTTGATGTTAATTTCCATTTTCAATGTCGTCCGATAACCAAGGATACCCAGCCCTACACAACCGAATAATACTACACATGAGTGAGTTTTCACCATGGTAAATAACAGATCTCGAACTGTGTTTACATGGCCATTTATATTCATGTTTATTGCTGTCAACTTGTGTTGACTAGTAATTCATGTATTTTTTACATTTCTTTATTAATCCATAATAGAGGTTTTTTTTTTAGGTTAGATCGTGTAAATATACACGTGTTGTTAAACCCGACACCACCCGACACAGCCAATAAGTAAGGTTTGTGACGTATACAAACATGCCAATTAGTTACTAGTTCAGCACACCGGTGTGTTGGAGAGTAAACCCACAAATTTATATTCGAGCACGACGTTTTTGCTAGAAATTACAACCAGCCTCATCAGGCGACAGTCAGAATGGTGGAGAAATCCTTCTGCTGTTGCATCTTAAAACACGTTCCTTCGGATTGGGCAGGTAGGAACTTGGTTGGACAGCGCAACGTTCAGGGGGAGGTGGGGGAGTTGGATCAGTGGGCATGTTGACCCTTCCCCCCCACCCTCCCCGACATCGTCAACCAATCGCGGCTATGCTCGGTGTTCGGTGGGGAGGTGCATGGGTGGGCGGAATTCCGGATATGCACAACAGACAGACAGACAAATAATCCCTAGTGGGCAGTGTGGAAGCTGTTGTTCCTACCTGTATAAGAGGGGGCTAAATGTGATGTTATCACTTGTGAGCCAATCGGGTACGAAGACCAGAGGGGTGGGGGGAGGGGTCATATTTAGTCAATTACAATGGAAATCTATTATTGGTTGGGTTATTCATAGTTAATCATTATTCTTTATCAATGCTCTCAAATGAAAGCGGTGTAAATTTTACGTGCAAATTACGTTTAGTTTTGTCCCTTGCAAACATACCTCGATGGACCTTTTCATGAACAGGAAATTGAGCGATTGTATCACATATTCTCTTGCGTGGGGTGTTTTTAACAGCTATTTTTGCAATGGCTAAACAATGCACTGAAAACATTAGTGCAAATTTATTTGGATATGCCACAATTTTAACTGCGGTCGAGACTGCTAATTCATTCCACAACAAAACGCATCACTTGCTGATTGGGGGGGACAGACATGTCATCTCTAAGGACTTAAGTCTGGCGAACTGAACTCAATGAATGTATATAGAAAAAAACCAAACGTGTGCCGCAGCCTACAGTGACATTCCATGATTCTAGGGGTCGTTTGGCAGTGTTGCGTCTGCAGATAGAATCTGATGATAGGTTTCTGCCGCTCTACTGACATTTGCGGTCTCATTCGATGATTGATACAAGGCGGCCTTGGTTTTTTTTACTCCTGGGAGCTGAAAAAAAAGCGTGACAGTGTAATTGGAGTTGTCATTAATCAAAGCCTAATGCAGATAAGCGTGCATGCAAATACGTCTCATTCTTGTGTGATTGATAACTAGCACGTGATGTGATATTAACACGAGCTCGGCTTTGTTACTTACTAACCGTAGGCAGTCATTATGATGGAGTCTTAAGTTGTATGTAAGTGTTGTGTGGGTATGTTACTGTGGTGAGAATTTGCAATAAGTGAGAGCTGAACAGGATAAGGTAAATTTTTATTCACTCAGTTGAATGCGTGACATTTAGTTGTCATTATGCTTTTTAGCAGCGACAAAGAAATCCCGTCCAACAATTTCAAGTGTAAATGTATGTAACTCGTCTACTAAACACATTGAAAAGAGCATTGTCCAACAGGCTTTTAGTTTATAAAAAAAAATTGTGTGTCCTCTGCGAACAATGCATTGACCTTTTAACAACAGTGGAAATACACTCGGTGTTGAGAAAAAATTATCTCTGCTTGCTTTTTTATTTGTCGGTCAGACAGGTACAGCCAGAAGATTGAATATGCTTTGCTTTGAAAATAGTGATTGGGCAGCCGATCACTTACCTATAGAGCAGCGTGCTACAAGTGATCATTTTGGTAGAACCGCATTTGAGACAATTTCCTCCAACACTTTAGAGGGGAATTACGGAATGTTTTTTTTAAGTAATGACCTCTCTTTGAAATGCATTCATTTTGCTACACAACGTAAAATTAATCTGTAGCCGTTGAATACCAAAAATAATCAAGCGGTTGATGTGGAAAATCAATCTTGCCAGGTAGACCAGAACATCAGTTGACTTTTAATTCTACTTCGTTTACGATTGGAGACATTATTACATGTGCAGTAATTGTATTTAACAAGCTGAAGTGCAGTTTAAATGTGGGTAACAAATCACTGTACAGGTGACTGACATTTCCCATTGTAGGCTTTAGTATGGACGCATGAAGGGATTTGTCTAGAATGTGGGCATTGTAATGTTGGTGCCACTCTAAGGCTGTTCCTTGCCAGAATGTCAATTTTAAATGAAGATTAGCCATTAATCATAGATTTATGAAGGATATACAAGGGAATGTGGCCTTTAGACAACTCAACGTGTAGTTATTGATTGAAAGACAATTGCCTGTCAGAATATTTTATATAGCATTTAATAATAGAAGGCAATAGTATTTACATTACAACTTTTTTTAAAAATCAATATATGGTGCTTAACAAAAACATTCCACCAACATTATAGTCAATGACACTATTAAAAGGAAAAATATATATACAGTTTTTTTTATTATGCTTGTTTTCCCAGGAAAGCCTCATTGAGTCTCAAGACACTTTTTCAGGAGGGTCTTGGCAACTTTTCACAGCAGGTGACCATTGCTATGTATATAGTATTCCAAACGAGTCATGGGTAATATTTTTGCCATATTTACATGGGTGACATTTCAAGCAATGGCCTTTATTCGTAGCATGGCATGGTAAAGGTGCGAACGAAGAAACTTCAGAGGTGAGTGACGTAGGCAGAGAAGAGGAGAGGTTGACAGCGTGGACTTGAACAGGGGGGCAAGTGAGTCAGCAGTGCAGACAGCCAGGAAGTGGGAGTTACAGATTTCAGAGGGAGCAGCAGAGAAGGTGCGACCTTCTATCGATCGTGCGTAGGTTGGACTTAAGGTTTAAAAACAACTTGTTTGTTGGAGCAGGATACAGGGATGGGGGCTACATCAAGATTTAGATGAGACGGTAGTGGCAGGCAGGGGAGATTCCATGAAGATATTGTAAGCTTGCAGTTGATCTGGAATTGGCTAGGAATCCAATGGAGGGATTTGAGGATTGGGGTGGTGTGTGGAAAATGTTTATAGTAGCGTTTACAAAACCAGTGACAATGTATTAGCAGTCTACCACTGTACAATGCAGGATGACACTCTTTCACGAAGGGAATGGATAAGGATATTTTCCCAATTCCTTAATTAGTGTTTTGCATGCGAAAGTACCCTAAAAAACCACAATGCGAGGTGAAACTGATTTGTTAAAAATCATTATGCAATGCCTCAGTTTACTGTGAGCGATTCAAAAGAAACGTGGGGGTGGTAGGTTATGTTGTTTTTATTATTCTGGTAACCTAGGAGGTTTTGCTCGTCCTGTTCAATCAAATCCCACAAGAATACATTGATATGAAAGGCCCATTGGTGAATAGTAACTGTTATCCTCGTGATGAAAGTCATTCCCTTGTTTAGTTTGTTCTTTGATCTGATATAATTTATTTAAAATAGATTAATGCTAATTTAAATGTAAACGATTTCAAATGATTTGCCATTCAACTTTTCAACGGGCAGCGCTTTGAAATGAATCTTGGAATGACATGGACGTCCGAATGTATACTTTAGCAGCTTTATGGCATGCTGTGGCTGTAACATCACAAAGGTCACGTTTTTATTACTATGCTACAGAGGCTTTGGTCGGACGGCTAAAATAAGCCAAACCTCCCCTTCCCCCCACTGTGCTCCTAAGACATCGGTTGACAGCAATTGACTACAGTACCTGTATATGATGGTTTTCTTCCTGTGGAGTGTGACTGAAATAGTTACCTTGTCTCAAAATAAGTAATGTTTAAAAAAACTTTTTTAAAACACGCTTTAATGAAATGTACCGTACTAGTAATAGTAGAACTCCACGACTCCAGGAAGTGGCCCCGAAGCTTGCCATAACGTAAGGGGCCGTGGTGATTTACAGCCAACGTCAGTTGAGCGTGGACAATTAGACCCAAGCCAAAACATAACATATAAAAAATAATGTTTAAAATTATATATTTTTATTTTTAATGATAGAATATAGTATTGTCATCAGTATGACACAAGTATACCAAATTTGTAGTCGATACTACATTGGGAAGTGGGTAATAATTGAGTTACAAGATTTGAGGATACAACAACAGAGTGAGTTAATACTGGTAGGAACCTCTGGTTACACCAGCCCACAGGGGATTATTGTGTCTGTCCGTCGTGCAGGGAGGGGCTGGGTGGGGAGGGGAGGGGCTGGGTGGGGAGGGTGGGGGGTGGGAGGGGTGGGGCTGGGTGTGGAGGGGCTGGTCACCCCGTGGTGCCCTTATAAAACTCAACGTTTAACCTACTCACGCCGGCTTGTGCCGCCCCTCATAGTCGGGCATATTTGCGGAATACACCACGCCGCCGTTGACCCTGACCATTGACCGAGCAACCCAACGTTCCTACCAGCTCCCTGCGCAGGAATGTGTTAAAAAGCGTGTAATAATTAAATAACAGGGACGCGTGGCCCGTCTTGACAGCTGTCTCCAGCAAATTATGATAAATGTGCAAAGTAAACCAGACTTGGAATCATTCACCCACCCACCCCATAGCAAATCTCAGAATTACGTGAATTGTTATGATCTGTGGTTAATTAATTAATAATGTAAATACAGGTGTGTGTTTGAAACCTCTGATTTGAATAGTTTTTTCCTTTAGTCTTGGTTTGTCCCATTTTTAGAAATGTTACAGAATATAATTTACATAAAATTTGCATGTCATTTGCTTGTGTTATTCATGCTACTGTCTGTCTTATTCAGATTTTCTACCTTATTTACTGACGCATTCTCGTCCAAGAGCATCAACTATCACGCTAACTCCAGTTATCCTCTCAGCGGCTTTAAGCTGGCCATCCAACAGAGACGGTCACTGCATCGCGCGCTTTCAAATGCGCTTTTGCGTCCGTCTGGAATGCTTTTATTCTGACAGGAAGCCACTAGAGCTTTGAACTGTTTAATCTAGATTGAAAACTAATTTCTTTAGAACTGATTTTTGTGTTTATTTTGTTGTCTTTCCCCCACACCACGGATTAGCACGGTTGACTATGTACGGTGTGAAAGAAGTTCAACATATATTCACTCACTGAGCTACGCAGCCTTACGTGAGGCCTTATCGTCCAACTTCCACAGTTGCCCCTCTGAGGCACGAGTTCATGTGTTGTCGTCTTTATGTGGTACTTCTTGTTACGTATAGTCGACGCTACTGTCTCGTTCGGTTTGCATAATTTGTCGCAACCAATAGTCTAAAGTAAAAAATAAATGCGCACATTTTGCACAAATTGAAAATAATTCATACTCTTTGGTTCTTTCGGTAAAGTCACGTAGGTATAAAATAAAATAGATCACGACGTTTTGGGCGAAACACAAGCGTCCGTTATCAGGTGTGAAAGCGTGGCCTGCTGCTGATGCAGACTGTTTTAAAAGGTTTGACATGGGTGTATCCCAAAGGTCAGACCATGCTTTCCCACCTGATGACGGACGCTTGTGTTGCACCTGAAACGTCGTAATTTATTTTATTTTCTACTTACGTGACTTTACCGAAAGAACCAAAGAGTATGGATTCCTGCAGTCACGAAAGCTTCAAATCAAGATTGAAAATAATTCGTACATGCACAATTTTTTGCGTGCATTGGTATATAAAAATCTACTGCTACACGCCAAATTAAAACATTGACTCTACGGTAAAAACATTTTATTGGTAGAAATATTTGTTTATTCCTTGTATGGAACAGTGCGATGTACAGTAGAGCGAGTTCACGAAAAGTAGTTACCCGAAGAAATTCACGTAATCATTCTTTCACTGGTTAATCTGTTACCCTTGCTCAACGGTTACATTTATTAATTTGCTGCCAACGTTTGTTCTGCACATGGCTTATTCCCGTGTTCATTTTGGTGGGGCAGCTATTTGTGGCAAACATGTCAGTACTGTATTGATCAAATATGTCTTTAAAAAAAAATGTCCTTCTGTAATGTAACAGCCACACCAGACATCAACGTTGATGTGGATTAATTTAACAGGAAATCTTTAAACCTATTTAAAAAAAAACCTGAATGTGTAGACCTGCCATCAATAACAACCACAAAATGCAGTGGTCCCTTGTGGGCACGCATACATTTTCCCTCGTCCCGTAAGGGACCGTCTTTTGGAGCCCAGTAATAATGGGAATAATGCAGTTTTGAATCGTAAACCATAAATAGTAATACACATTAATTTTTAAATATGATGCTCACTTTAATCAATTCAAGTGGTTTCATTGATACTGTTATTATAATGTATTGTTACCATACTGTGTGTTAAAGCCATATTTGCGGTTTAATCTGTGATGCTCTCAGCTTTTTCCTCTTCACACATATAGTGGCTCTCTATTTTACATATATTTTGCATTTAATTCGTTGTGTGATTTTTTTCGATGCTTTATCAAAATATTTATTGTTTGATATACATTTGATTCTTGTATAAACTGTACTGTCACTGGCATTTAAAAAATATATGATTTTACGTTTAATATAATCTACTAATATTTTGTTGCATATAGTACATAAATGGCAACTGTTATTTTAAATAAACCAGTCCGCTAATTAAAATTAACAAACCTAATTAACAAATTTGAACATGCTCTCGAACAATAGCATGCCGCCAAACGTATATATATTAAAAAATGAAACCACTCAATTTAAGTAGATCAAATCCGTGCACAGAATTCTGATGTCCAACACCACTGCTGACACGCAGATGTTTCTACCGGGCACTGTGTACCTACTGTTTGCGTGCATGTGGGCAGACGCTTTACATGACGGCTGCTTGCTTTGCACCAATGAAAGCTGAAGGATTTAATTCTTTTTTTCTGACCTGGACACCACGCCCTGTGCGTCTGGGCAGTGTTTTTTTTATGAGGACGAGTCCCCAGGTCGTGCGTGGCGAGGCGGCGGAGCAAGGATGAGTGTCACGTCGTGGTTCCTCGTGGCGGGCAGCGGCACCCGCAACCGGCTGCCCAAGGAGATGATCTTCGTCGGGCGTGACGAGTGCGAGCTCATGCTGCAGGTGGGTTCAGGCCCTTCTCGTGAATCCAATGGCCGCATGGCAATGGGAAGGCTATTCTGGTGGGCCAAAACAAATCTATCGTACAAATCTTTATACCGGCATACTGAAATTCTCGGATCTTATCTTAAAATCACAGCATATTTCATCTTCTTGGTTCTTTCGGTAAAGTCACGTAGAAGGGACGTAATAAAATAATAAAAATAAAACATAATAAAATAATGTAATAATATTATAAAATAAAGTAACAATAAAATAATATAATAATATATTATTGTATTATTAATATCTATATTTTATTATTTTATTACTTCCCTTCTACGTGACTTTTACCGAAAGAACCAAGAAGATGAATCCCTGCAGTCACGAAAGCTTTAAATCGAAATCACGGCATCTATCACCATCATCATCAGCCATGATCAATAGAGTGCTGGATAAAGGCCTTCCCAAGCTGTCGTCGCTGTCTCTCTTTGTCTCTCGAGCACCTGTGCACGAGCTGATTTGATCGGTCATCTCGGACGCTTTACCCTCCCTTGGCTGCAACTGCGGCTTTCGTCTCGACCGCTGGCCCTCATCCTTGTCGAGCGATGTTCTGCCCAAGCCGGCTTTTATTAACCTTTTCCCATTGAGACGTCCGCAAGCTGCAGGTGGTTCCTGTTCACCTCTGAATCTTGGAACATGCAAGCGGCTCGGCATTAATTTTATTTAAAAGACATTGTACTCACCGCTGAGAACTGTAGCGACATGACTACACTCTATGACAGCTGACACCAAACTGTGCCACACGCCTTCCCCGCATGGCCTTGTGGGAACCTCGGTACCGAAAACGTTATTTTATTTTTTAAATTCCGGTTTCATTTTGATGGCGTAGACGTACATTATCAGAACGGAAAAGGGTTAAGTCATTCGGTTGTTTCTAAATTGCGTATGTCCTCAAATTGTTGTGGGCCGCTTTCCTTGCACTGTAATTCCAGGCTTGCATCTATTCATGTTTCTTTGCACACTTTTCAAATTATTGTTTCTCTGCCTGAATGCGCCAAGCTGCTGTGCCCATCATTGTTGGCGGTTTTGAGCCACTGGGAGGAATTCTACATTACTGTGGTGGGGGCCATTGTGATATCTCACAATGTGCTCTTCACTTTGCCAACCCCACAGGTGTCATGGGCTCAATCTATTTCTGATTGGGATATGAACTTGTAATCATCTGATTGTTAGTTGAGCTTTCTAACGCTATGTATGTATAAATCTTGACTTAAAGCTTTCGTGACTGCAGGAATTCATATTCTTGGGTCTTTTGGTAAAGTCACGTAGATAGGTTCAAGAAAATAAACAAAAAATAACGCAAAAACTACGACGTTTCGATCGCAACACAAGCAATCGTCAGCAGCTCTCCGATCTTACATTTACATGCAAATTTCTCACTTTAACATCACTCGCCTCACTCACTTCGCTTATGACCCTTGGGCTACACCCATTTCAAACCTTTAAAACAGCCTGCCTCAGCAGCTTTCCCGCTATTTTTAAATCCTTTATATTAAGTTCGCTTGCTTGCTTGCTTGCGTGCTTGCTTGCTTGCTTACGACCGTGCAAATCTTCCGGTCGTTTTTTAACCCACTTCCCGTGATCCAATCGAGCTGACATTTTCCACACAGACTCGTTGTGCGTGTCAATTAATTTTCGTGAAATTTTTTTTTCCAAAATTTTACACTGTTTAGGGAATTTTTTAAAAATATTTAATTACCAATTGCTTAATGCTGGCAACAATCATCTGACCCATAGGTGGCAGCCATCTCAAGCCAGAGGACGAGAGGACTCTAGCCGCCACGCATTTAGAGTGAAAAACTTTGTTTTTACGGGTTAATTTTTTTAATCCTTTATATTAAGTTCACTTGCTTGCTTGCTTGCGTGCTTACGACCGTGCAAATCTTTCGGTCGTTTTTTAACCCACTTCCCGTGATCCAATCGAGCTGACATTTTGCACACAGACTCGTTGTGGATGACAATTTATTTTCGTGAATTTTTTTCTCTCCAAAATTTGACACTTTTTAGGAAAAAAGAACTTATATTTAATTACCAATTGCTTAATGGTGGCAGGCAATCATCTGACCTATAGGTGGCAGCCATCTCAAGCCAGAGGACGAGAGGACTCTAGCCGCCACGCATATAAAGGATTTTTTTAATCCTTTATATTAAGTTCGCTTGCTTGCTTGCTTGCGCGCTTACGACCGTGCAAATCTTTCGGTCGTTTTTTAACCCACTTCCCGTGATCCAATCGAGCTGACATTTTGCACACAGACTCGTTGTGCGTGACAATTTATATTCGTGAAACATTTTTTCCAAAATTTTACACTTTTTAGGAATTTTTTTTTTATATTTAATTACCAATTGCTTAATGGTGGCAGGCAATCATCTGACCCACAGGTGGCAGCCATCTCAAGCCAGAGGACGAGAGGACTCTAGCCGCCACGCATATAAAGGATTTATAGCGAAAAACTTAGTTTTTACGGTTTAATTTTTTTCTCCTGATGACGATTGCTTGTGTTGCGATCGAAACGTCGTAGTTTTTTTGTTATTTTCTTTGAATTTATCTACGTGACTTTACCGAAAGACCCAAGAATAGCTATGTATGTATGTATATTGAGCTTCTTTCGCAACGTACGTAGTCAACTGCTTTGCACCACCTAGCTTCGTGTTCATCATGTGTAATTACGAAAGAACATTTCAAGCATTGTGTCGTTAAGCATTTGAGCAATAGTTTACCTATGAAGAATATACCACACTTGCATCTCTCGCATAGTTGATGCGTTTAATCACTTTAACAGCTAAATATAATTTAATGCTGGCTCGTATGGTGGAGGTATGCATTGCATGACTTGTCACGTTTTTCTTGACTGCTTGGAAACAAATATTTTATTCGGTAAATGCTAAAATTGTCCACTCTCATTACCAATTTCTTTACGAGATTGTGATGTGAATTAATAACCCATTTCAGCAGTGAAATTCGTGCAGATGGCTATAATTACAACATGTTGCCATGGTGCCAGAGATTGATTTACTTACTGCCTATGCTTGGTAGACATTTAATGCTTCACTTTAACTACAATGTGATGCAATGTCAAGCTTCAGGAGTTGTAATTTGATTGAAGAATGCATTACTTTTCTCCGTAAAAATAGTTGTGGTGTGGCGTGTGCGGTAACTTCAGGAGAAAAGAGCACGCCGTTACTTTAAACCCTTCCGGCCTGCAATAATGACCACACTCCTCTCACGCATACGAGAAGCCGTTAAAATAAAGTGAATTCAAGTCAACAAGAGTTAAACACTCGTCAATTTATACGACCGGAGAATCTGTCCGGACAAGATATTTCTATTCTCTTATTTGTATTGTCTGTCTTGGAAGTGAAAATTTTGGCCCTCTTTTTAAAATTTGTCTGACTGTATCATTCACATTTTTTTGTTTACTAGGAAAGGCCCCACTGAGCTATATAGCTCTTTCAGAGGCGACCTGGCCACAAATGATAGCTCAGCAAAGTGTGGCTTATCATGTTGAAATTTATAGCAGCAAATAATCTAAATGCACGTTTCAAAATGTGGAAGGAAAAACCGGAGGATCCGGAGAAAAATCCACGCGACCATGGGGAGAGAGAAAGAGACACGCAAGCTCAAAACATACAGCAGGCGTCAAAGTTAGGATCAAACCCACGACCTCCTGTATACCAGGCAAACATCGCCACGTGACCACAGGGAGAACATGCGAATTTAAAATATACAGCAGACATCAGGGTCGGGATCGAACCCACGACCTCCTGTGTACCAGGCGAGATAGTCAACATCTCACCACCCTGTCGGCCTATGATTTTCATTACCCGTAAATGATTCTTGCATGCCCAATTTGACGTGTGCACTAATATATTGAGCCTAAAAATCAGTCAATCTCTTAAATCACTCTGTCTAATGATAGGTAATCAATAGGCATTTACAGATCTATCAAGTCGATTTAACCAACATTTAATGCTCATGATACATGTATTGCATCATGCATATAATAATATATTTTGATATCACCAAATTGTATGCAAATGATCCTTAAAGGGTAGTGGTTAGTAGAATGTACGACGTACAGAAAATGAATTGTAGAGTATCCATGGTACTGGACAGTGCAGTGAGATGTAACACATCACACACAGTACAGAAGATACAAGCAAGATAAAAACTTGCTGCTTGAATCGATTTGTGATGCACATTCCGACAATTCATCAAATCGCGGCAGCAGTGAGGTGAACCGTTACATGCCTCGTAATAATGCCCAACAATCTGAGCTTGTGCTCAGGGCTTATTTTTTCTATTGCAAAATCCAAACATAATTGGACTGCAAATCTAATTTCCATGATCGAGTGCAATGGATTTACCCCTGTCAGGCCACCGTTTCTGCCAAGCTACTTATACCAGCATTCCCTGAATGAATGCAAATGTCCCCAAACGCTTAAGAGTCTCGCAAATTCATGCACTGTTGTCAAACAGGCAGATTCTGAACTGATTGCATCGCACATTCCTCGGATTAACAATGCGGTATTGTACTGGGGCAAATACTGGTCAGTATTTTTTTTATAGGTTTTGTTTTACATTACTTGTTTAATATATCAAATATATTACTGTTTGCTAGATTGTGTGTTGCTGCTGCTATTTGTGAACCAGTTAAGTGAATAGATCACAGGTGCACTCACCTGAAGTGAGATTTCCCTCAGATTTTATTTTACCGGCTGTAACAGGCAAATCACATCACTAATCCCATAAAAGCTTCTGCTGAAAATGGGTCGTATTATATGGAGAATTTGAGATACAGTGGAAGCACGGGACAGACTTTGTATAAAAATAGAATTTTTATAATGTAAGAATGTTCTTCTCTGCATTGTGAACACGGTCATTACGTATTGTAACGTTTTATGGAAATCGGGAACATTCATTCTAGATTTGAAGCTTTCGAGATTGCAAGGATTCATACTCT